AGGGAAAGGAAGAAGTGGTTGGAGTCAGGAGAGAATGGGGTACGTGGGTTTGTATAGCATAAAAAGTTTTTCTGTGCTGTAAATATAGATTTGGGAGTTCCTGGTATAAATGTAATTGATGCTATGGAAGTAGATGAGATCATATAAAGCATGTAGAGAAAATAAAGGTGACCTAAGTAAGAACAGAAACTTTAGGAGCACTACCATTTAAAAGTAGCCTGAAGAGAAGCAGCCAGAGAAGTAGAAGGAAAGCCTGGCTTTAGAGAATTGTCTGGGCAAAGGTCAGGCAGTCCTCAGGTGAATAGTACACACTTAGTTCTCTCAGGACTTAGAGGTAGTGGGGAGCAGACCTAAACTAAGTATTGAAGGATGAGCAGAATTTGTTGTATAAATCAGAGAAAGGACATTATATAGGCAGAGAGAATAACGTGTAAAAGGTAGGACTGGAGCACAGAATGGCAGTGTCAAATGAAGCAGAGAAAGACAAGAGCTTACTATAGACAAGTGCTATTTCAAGGCATTTGGACTTTATTCGGTGGTTAATGGGGGAACCACTAAAAAGCTTTTACAAAGGGCGATACCATTTGGTTAATATTTTAGAAAAGATGGCTTAGGCAATGGCCTTTGGACTTTTCTGACTACAACCCACAGTTTAAATTTCACCTGGTACACAGAGTAAGAAAAATACGTAAACTGGTAAATATGACATATTTATAACAAATGTTTCATGAAATAGTACCCTTACTATGCATGATACATGCTTATGTTGTCTGAATTATTTCATTAAAAAATGGTCATTTGTATTTTGTAAAACACTGGGTTAGAGAAAGTCAAGACTGTAGACAAGGTGACCAGTTGCAAGAAACAAGTGCAGTTGCCCAGTAAGTGATATACCTTTCTTTTAATGTTAGTGTTGTTTCTGAAGATGGAGAGTAAGGTGGTTTTAAGATTTGGGTTGTAGATTTCAGAGGACTTGAAGAAGGAGAGTGGAGGGGAGAGGGAAATAAAGATGACCTCCAGATATTGTGTCTGACTTCTGTGATGGGCTAATTTGTCGTCCCATTAACTTTTATTTACATATAAAGGAGGAGGAGTTAGTTGCAGGTAGTGGTGGGGCAGTCAGTTTCACCGGTTGTATCTTCTGATTTTCTGCAGAAAAATTTTCTACACAAGAGGAATCAAATCAATACTTGACTGTAGTTTATGTAAATAATTTCAGTGTACCTGGCACAAGACACCAATTAACACAATGTTCAAAGTCTAAATTTGTGTCAAAAACTTGTTTCAAATTTTGGAGTTTTTTTAGGAACTTGGTATTTAAAATGTTTAAATATAGTCATCCTAGGAGAAGTAGATGAGATAGAGAAGTGGATATTTATTCAGTATCCTTAAGTTTTGTGTTATTCATCAGCCTGGGATTATTATATTGATTGATATCTGCAAACCTGCATATAGGCAGAACTCAGCATGCTATTCACATTCTGATGGGAAATGGTTTATCTAGTTGTATTGCTACTGGAGCTCCCCTTTTCTGACTGTTAAAACTACCTAGAGTTTCTCTCCCCATGCCAAGTGTATTGGCGAATGGGGGACTGGAGCTAGCTCGTCCCCTATCTCCTGTCATTCTTTCAGCCTCGATGCTGTCAAAAGCATCTTCAGACCTCTTTCCTCATCTCAAAAACTTACTGTCCATTGATCTTTGCTCTCACCTCATCCTTCCCATATCTTGCTGCTGCTGGAGGAAAGACACTTTTTGTGGAGATGGAGTGAGTGTTCCTTTGAAATGCAGATGAATTTTACTGATTTTGTGCCTTTCACTTATATCTACAACACCTAATCGAATGATTTGCTCATTGAAATATAGTGGTTACTGAGTGATGTTACAAATGAAATTATGTGGAAATAAAGTTGGAGAACTGATATCAGTGAAAAAAGAGATTGGGTGGAAGTGTTGGAAGAGAATTCATTTGTTGAGTGTCTGCTCTGTGAGACTGGACACTTACTATTTTCTCTCACTGGTTTACATAAGCTTTGGAAGTAGAGACTGTTAACCCCATTTTATAGGTGAGAAAATAGAGGCTCAAAGAAATGAAATACTAGTAAGTGACTGAGCAAAGATCTCAATCTAAGATCTTGTTTGACTCCAGGTCTTTATCTTTTTCATTACCTCCTATTGCCTCCCTTTTTGTTTCCAGTGATTATTTCTAGTTAAAAGAAGGAAATTCCCATGAAACCTGGGGAGCATCATTTTATGCTTACTTAAAGAATAAGAAGGATAAAACTGAAACAGTCCTGTGATATGTTTCGAAAGAAACCTTTGGAAGCCAGAAGTAGTCGTATTAGAAAGAGAACTAGGCACACATTTCTCTGGGTTCCTCAGAAGGACTGAGGAAAATTTTATTAGCAAGAAATACTGGTTCCTCACCTGTTGCTTTTTCTCCTTCATCCTGTTTCAGGCTTAGGAATGATAATAGGAAGCCTGAAGCTAGAGAGGGAATACAGGCTCAGTATTAGAACTTCAGGAGAGAGTGCTCCTTTACACTGGAACACTTCATAGTTTTTTATGAAATGATCTTGTATGCAGCCTTTTGGTTCCATAGACTTGTCATTGGAATACTATGTTTCATGTGTGTTCCAGGAACCTAGCTATTGCATACCATTTAATTCTTACATTTATGGAAAAAAGTGTTTTAAATTTTACATTGACTCAAAAAATGATTTTTTTTGGCTCATAGCTGGTTTATAATTTGAGAATTTTCTATACTTGCTGTATTTGATATAATGAAATTAAATGGAGAAGATGGAACTATAGAAAGTCTCAGAATGAAGTGTTTCATCTTCTTACTGCTTTCTAACTTAAACTACTTTTTTCTCTGAAGCCTGATTTGCTGTAGAAGTACTAACAACAAAATTGCTGAAGTAGTGGTGTTTAACAAGAATTACCAAATATATGTAATTACATTTTTGAGAGAAACTATTTAAAAAATACTAAAAGATTTTTATTAGTTGGAATGTTAGTTTTTTGTGGAAGGTACAAATTATGTGGCTCTCAATTAGGGTAAATAAGCTGTTGCTTTTCATATATTTGGGACAGCATCTGTTTTGCTCATGTTATTGTGTTTGAGGTGACACAGGGAGATGAGAATGAATGAATCTATGACTTAAGGGGCCTAGATTCTTACAGTGCAATTTAGACAGTAGTTGAGAATGTTCAAGATTTTGTGTTTCTTTATACTAAAATATTATATATATTTAATCTATATGCAGTACATTGACTTTTGAAAACATGCTTATTTCTAATGCTTATATAAATTGTGGCTCTCATCATGTTGCATCTCCCTCTAATGAGCCATCAGTTCTATTTTTGCTATTGGCTGCTGGTCATTTCTGTCCAGTTATCTCTTTGGCATCTCAAATTCAGTATGTTCAGAATTGACCTAAACAT